GAAATTTTCAGATGGCACTTAGAGGCTTTTTGCATCTGAACTCTTCAATTGTTTATTCACCCTCACATCATTACAAACCTATATGTTTTCCTTTTGGACACATGGTTCCACGATTAAAATTATTAAACCAACGTATTAAATTCAAAATGGATCATTATAGATTAATTTATTCATGCACCTTTGAAAGCATTTATCCATCAATTATTTTACTTATTTAGTAGTGCTTATTTAATCATTTTTATTCAGGTATTGTTTTCGTGTTAAGGGCTCTCGTTCAGTTTCACGCATGCACATTTTTCAACATGCCTTGAAATGTAATGAAAAGACAGCACACCATATTACAACAAAACATATGGCCATACTATGGGGTATTAAAGATTCAGATTCTATTTGTGATTCTTTCATTTTCTACTGTTATTAAATATGATAATAATCTCAAATGAGGCCAAGTAGACCAGCAGAACATTGCACCTGTCATCCTAGAAAGATTCACACTATAGCATACCATTCAAGAGCCATAATAACTTGAATGAATATAGCAGTTGAAGAAAGCTTTAAAAAAAAAAAATTCCTATTTAGCCAGATTGACATTGATATTTACTCACGAGAAACTGTTCATATTTACCTAAAACATGTTTAAATCTCTATATAGCAGCAATTCATCCCCGGCACAAAACTATTTATTAATAAATAAAGTGATAAGGTAAATGAATAAGGATTCAGTGGCTTTACAACACCTTGGATTCCAGTCCAGTTTTGGTTATTTACATTTAAACATTATGTTTAATGATGGACCCTGGTAGAGTGACCATATTCACCCAGAGTGGCACTATTCTCTAGATCTGCTCTGTCAGACATGCATTCAACCTCACTGCCCAGTCTGCCAGAGTCAGATTAACCATATGGGCATTTGGGCATGCGTTCAGGGGCACCTTGTCGAGGGTGGGTACAAGTGCATCCGTGGGGACATGAATTGCCACAAAAATGCTTTCAAATATGTGCCGCAATGGCTGCTTGTCTCTTTTGGGAGATGTTAGGGTTCCTTCACTGTCAAAATTACAACACATGCTACAAATTTCGGTCACACTTTATTTCAAGGACCAGACCTAACTATTAACTAACTATTAATTATAATTTTTGCTTATTAATGCTTATTAATAGTTAGTAATGTAGTTGTTAAGTATGGGGTAGGATTAAGGGATCTAAAGTATGGTCATGCAGAATAAGGCATTAATATGT